GATGTGAAAGCATGTCCATGGCCTTGGCACCTGTGCTTGTTCTCCAGCACGGGTGAGAGCTGGTCGTGGGCCAGGTCATCCTCTGAGTCGCAGACCCACAGAACCGCCAGCCGTATGAGGGCGGTCGTCACCACACTGCCTCTGGCATCCACTGTCACGTACTCTCTGCTTCCTGTAGAATTCTGAGTTTACGGGAATCCTAGTTAGGTGCTGCACATCAAGTCAAAACATCGAGTCTGCAGCTCCTCATCGCGGGGGATGAATCGGGACAGGGAACGGCGCCAGAATCTCTGCCTTGTGTGGCCCACGGAGCCGCATCCTGTCCGAGTCGGACCTCCAGGGTCTGCAGCTGAGGCGCCACAGCTGGCCCGTGGCATCACCCGCCACTCACCGAGCGGGAATGGCCTTTCTTGTCCGTCCCTAATCATCGTCACCAGGCGTTCCTGAGCGCCGTCAGTGTGCAGAATGAATTCTGTTAGCTAAGGTCAGAGTTACACCTGCTGACTGAAAAGCTCTGCCACCGCGTCCGTCCATTATGAGTGTCGGGTGACCGATTCCCCTCCAGCTGAGCTCACGCACGAGGGATACTTCGAGGAGTATTAAGAGACCTCGAAACTCTCTGGAGGGCTGAGCCAGGACCTGGACGCAGAACCAGCCCCGCAAGGTCGCTGCTGGTGACGGCAGGGCCAGCGAGCGGCAGAACCAGGCGGCCACAGAAGTGGGTGGCCGCTGCGTGTTGGTGCGGGCGGACACCTCGGGGCTTGCCCCCTCCCGTAACTCTTCTGAACCGGAGCTTTGCACAGCTGCATCCGACTGGGTCCGAGTCGCCCTCGGGGTCGGGGTGTGCGGGGCCTCTGCGGGGTGGGGCGGGGGCTGCCAGCCCGTCAGCTCAGTGCCACGGGGAGACGGCAGACGGCCGCACGCAGGACGGCCTTTAACTCTGAAATTCCACAGAATGGGTCAGTTTTAGGTTTCGAGTATACTTTCCATCTTCAGAGCGGAGTCCAGAACTTGCCCACGGGTCCTTACTCAGGCCCCGCGGCGATCGGTGACCCTTTCTTTTCCTCTCCACAAGGAACCATCAGACTCGATGGCCACGACATCCGCCAGCTGAACCCCGTCTGGCTGAGATCCAAGATTGGGACCGTGAGTCAGGTAGGAGGACGGGGGTCTGTTTTCTTACACTTCCCTTGTAATTGCTGTTGTCCTTTGCCTTTGCTCGGTCTTGAATCTCTCAGAAGGGGCGGGAGTGGGGCTCTGGGGAGGGGGCTCCCCCCTCAGGACCGCAGCGCTTTACTGGGGGAGGCGCGGATTTTCCATCGAAGCTGGCCCGACGTCACTCTGCGGTGCAGAGAGGCTGGAGGGTGGGGACGTGGTGTCACTCTCAGCTCCTGCCGACTCGGCCCTGATTCCCGTGTTCATCACGGGCATAAAGGGCCCACCGTTTTGCATAAAGGGTTTTAGAGACGAGCAAAGACCATGGGGCCAGCCAGGGCCCCGCAGGAGGCCGCAGACGTCAAGGCCGAATGTTCACGCAAGGCCGCCCCTCCGCCCAGGCCGGCCTGCGCCTGCGGCGTGTGCTGGGTTCCACGCAGCTGTTCGCATCTGTCACCCTGCGCACGGGGCAGGCCTGAGCCCCCTGCGCTGGCCGAGGCAGGGGGGCAGCGATGCGGGCTGCTCGGCCATCGTGAGGACATCAGCGGTGCCTGTTATTAGGGCTCGGAGGAAGGAAGCTGGAAGCTCACGTGTTTTTAGGGTCGTTCCAGAGAGTTCTGGCAAAGCGCCACGTCCCATCCGGTCGGCGCGCACTCCGAGGCGTGGTGGATGGGGATGGAGCCCCTCGTCCTTGGCGCAAGGCGGCAGCTGGAAAACGCGGCTGGGCCGGGGGCCGCGAGCCTCCCTGTCCCCAAGGGAGGGGCTCGCATTTGCGAGGTGCCTCCTGGGCGCGAGGCGGCCCCCATCTCCGGCTGTGTGCCGGAAGCACAGCGGTAAAGCCACCCGCCGTGGACGTGCGTGACTTAAAACGTCTGCCACATGGGCTCGTGGGGGACGAGCAGGGGGCACCAGGGAGCCCGATGTGCCCCTTCGGAGCAGTTTAACCATCTCTGTGCTAAACCCCACCCTTTACCAGCCCCGTTCGAGGTCCGTTTGAAATTTGCCGTAAATGTCTCTTTCCAACTTTGCAGGAACCAATTCTGTTTTCTTGCTCCATCGCCGAGAACATCGCTTATGGCGCAGACGACCCGTCCTTGGTGACCGCCGAGCAGGTGGAGAGAGTGGCCGACGTGGCCAACGCCACCGCATTCATCCGCAGCTTCCCGCAAGGGTTCAGCACCGTGGTTGGCGAGAAGGGCGTCCTCCTGTCAGGTACCTGGTGGCTGCCGCCGGGGGCGGGGGTCCCCATGGTCCACGTGGCCTTGCGGCCTTCAGCGTGGCCTCGGTGCTTAGAGGGCTCGGAACCCCACGTCCACTTTCCGAAGCCCTTTCCGCGCGGGGACAGCTCCTCCGTGTCCCTCGCTTCCTCCCCCGGATTCCCAGCGGCCGTCCCGCTGAGCCGTGCTCGGCATGGCCGTGTTTTTCTCACCTGAGGAAAGGTGTGTTTTGCCACCCGAGACCCTTGAAAACCGCACAGACTCCGGCCGGCGCGGGGGGCGGGGGAGTCGCCCGGGCGGCAGACACGCGGTCACAGCAGCGTGGGCCTGAGCGGGTGGGGTTCTGGCTGGTGTGTCAGGCCGGGCGGCAGGCCGGGCGCTTCCGCCACAGCGCAGCTGCCTCAGGGTCACGGGCCACACGCGGTCTGTCACGTGGCCTTCCTCTTCGCCGGATTTTTTGACAGTGTGCAAAATGTAAAGCCGTTCTTAGCTCGAGGGCCACGTGCACACAGGGCCTGGCCCCGGCCGGCCCCGGCTGGCCGGACGCAGGAGGCGCGGTCCCTTCAGGGCGCAGAGCTGGGACTGATGAGCAGAACCTAAAGGGAAACACGTTTTCGTTTGGTTAAGCACAGATTGTTTTCATTACAAATGCTGAGACGCGCCCCCTCCCTCGACGGCGAGGCCCGTCGCTGCACGTGCCCGGGCCGCGGTGAGTGGTGTTGCCATGTCGCGGTTCGAGCCGCTGGGTTGGACAGCGCCCAGCCTTCTGCTGGACGCTCCCTGCAGAAGGTTTAATGCAAAACGCCGAGTTCATTGTGCCTCGCTTTTGAAACTGTAGGCAGGAGGTGAAGACGCGT